TTTATAATCTGTGATGTCATAACTAGAGAATTAGGGGTATTTTTAAAACATGTCTCGACTCCAGAGCCCTGTTGCGAGAAGCCGGTTTGGTTTTGGTATAGTTTAAGTTCAGGTTTACTTTCAGAGAACTCTGAGATTTCCGTTGCTGAAATGATTTGTGATGTGGCCTTTACTCATCAAACTAGGGACAAACAAGATACTATATCCAAAGATTAGATCTTTAGGTGATATATTTCTTGGAAAAAGTTGATTCAGTACAACATGTATTTCTGTTATATCAATATTGTTGGTACCGGTTTTCATATCTGTGTTGGTGCGTCTTGAAATAATGCACCTTGTTGTGTTAAAAAGCTCTGAAAAACTTCCTGGAAAACATATATTACACAAGGCCACTCAAAGTGCTGAAAAAAACAAGATAGAGACAGTCACACAAGGCATTAATATCCTAAATAATAACAGAACATACTATTTCTAACGCTGCCGTGGTAACAGCGACCCTGGTCCAAGCCGGGCAACTTCAGGGTCAGAGTAGGAGAAACCAGAGTGGGCCGAACCAACCAGAGCGTTAAAAGCAAGGGCGTAGGTTTGCGTGGGGACCATGGGGACATGTCCCCACCAATATTTGGTGAGGACTAAAAAGTCCCCACCAAAATGACATGATGTCCCGTGACCCGGACGGTCCGGGACACATGTCTTCCGTTTGTGCACACGTTGCGCCTCCTCCTCGCCTCCAGAGCAACAGCAGCAGCAGCAGCAGCACGTGACCCGTTCCGTTCTCTGCAGTGATTGGCTGTCTTCTTCAGCGCCAAACTGAAGCACTGAGCGACTGTTTAATTTTTAAAAGTTAGCCAGCGTGAAGCAAGTGTTTTTTTTCGTTCCCTGAGCGTTGTAGCACGTGAGTAATCAGAGGAAAGTACTGTAGATCTATTACCATTCAAAGTACTTACGTTATTTCTAATCTGTCAGCGCACTGTTTAATGTTCCGAGGAGCTCACACGGCACAGAGACAGAACAGAACTGGCTCCAATAAAGAAACAGGTTGGTTGAAAGGCTGAGAAAATACTTATTGTGCTCTTACTATCCAAAATGTATAAGTGGGTGTGTTGTATGAATCAGGATAAACTAGGGATGAAAATATTCTACGGATCCACGATTTACAACCTTTATCTGCTGATAATGTAATTTCTGTGAAATGTGTGACAGCGGGCACTTGCTGTTATTTGCTCTAAGCACATTCAAGCGATGCACTCGAATGTGCACGTCCTGGTGCAGCTGCTGCCGCTTTGTAATGACAGCCGCGGCGCTCAGTGAAAGCACAGCTCTAACATGGTACCGAGCTCGGACCATATGCAGACAGAACCATGTTGCAAGTGCGGGTCTCCCTTGTATCTCCCCCGTTTCTCCCCTGTGTCTCTGACATGTCTCTCCCCTGACTCTTCCCAAAGCGCAACCAGCGCTCCCGAAATTAAAGCTCGGATACCTGAATTTTCCATTGCGTTAACGATGCATGCTGATTGTGCGCTAAAGACACCACAACAGGTCATTAAAGTTTTTATTTTGCATACTTGAGAGCCCTGTGAGTCATTACTTGCCTTTTTGGGTTGAGAGTGGAATAAAAAAAAGAAAATATAGAAAAATCCACACTGTTACTTATTGCCAAACTCTTGTTAACTCATTGTATTGAGAAATACTATGTAACTTTTGACATTGGCCAAGTTATATAAATGATTCTGCAGTTCATGTATATGAATGTCTGTTTTTGATTGTCTATACCTTCTTATATAATTTAGAAAAAATGCCACCTCCACAAAAAAAGATAAAAGATATCAGGAGCTTTTTTAACAGTTGGAAAGTAAGTAAGAGAAAGCACAAGTAATAGCAAATTATGAATTGTGATGATTAATCTTCTGTTAACATACATAGGAAACTCAACCAACAAGAGAGAACAATATAGGGAATGTTGAGGTAGAAGCAACAGGCCCTTCAGTGCATCAGGTGAGGTTGGAATTTTGTAGGTATGCATGGGACTATGAATTGTTTTTAGAGATTGATCGTATATGTCAAACAATGTAGTGAGCTACTCACTGTAGATTCTAATTCAATATTTTCTCCTCTGTTTTTATTTATTATAGGAAATTGAAAGATCAGAGCATGATTTATTTCAAGTATCGAGAGCAGTTCCTGAACTGTTAGAGCCTCAGGTGAGGGCTATTATGTAGATTTGGATTAGGTTTAAGTCAGTATAGAATCATACTAAAGTTAAAGAACATCATTTGGTTGGAAATTACCTATGCCAATTACAACATATTTTACTACTATAATGATGCAAAAAGTGTTGTCTGAAATCTTTTACTAAATATAGGACACTCTGAGAAATATAATGGAAATTCAAGAAGGAGATAAAGACAAGGACAAGACAGGACTCCAGGTGAGGTTAGGATTAAGCAGTTATAATCTTAGACCCATCAACCAATTCTAGTTTCATGAGATATTTAGCGACTGGTGTACCATGCCTAGGTTTCATTTTATTCAATGTAGAATGTGTGTTTTTATTAATACCATAAAGGAAAGTCAGACAAACAGGGAATGTGCAGTGCTGGTAGAGGATGAGGAAGTGGCTGGACCTTCAGGGCTTCAGGTGAGGTTGAAAGTATTTATTTGGTTTTGTTGGTGGTTTTATTTTGTACATGCTTAGATCTGATTTGTTTAATGTACTACATGTGTTTTATTTATTATAGGGAGCTCAGGTATTCAGGGAAGATGTTGTGCAGGCAGATATCGAGGCTGGACTTCAGGTGAGGCTGGAATTATGAAGATAAAATATGGGATTTTTTAAAGTTTCATAACAGTGTATTTGCTATTTAGGAGGCAGCCAATGAGAGTCACTCTCAAGAAAGTGCCAGGGACAGCATATTTGAGATAGGTTGTAAACCATATCAGCCTGATCCTGAATACAGGATATATTTACTATCTTATTTACTATAAACATTTAAGCCATCTTGTGGACAAAGTTAGAATGAACGCAACACAAAACTCAGAAGCTCTGATCAAATTGATTTTGTTTTAACTATTAGAAAAAATCCTTAACTGCTTCTCATTCAGTCTACAGCTGAGTTTAGTATAGAAGGCAACACATTATTGCAAATATAGTGTGTGATTACACAACAAATTCTGGGGGAGAAACTCTGGACCCCGCGTCAATGGGTGTAGACTCAGGTCGTAGTGAATGTCCCCACCAAGATTGGAACCAAACCTACACCATTGGTTAAAAGGTCTGTCATAGTGTTTACCCATGTGCATAAAAACACAGATAAAGCCATTTCTGATAAACATTGAGGCACAAATAAAAGGACGACGTAGAGTCTTAGGAAGAATGTGTGTTATTGGGGATCCATTTTAATTTCCAAACAACATCCTTTACACAAAGTTTCCTGCTGTTAATAATAATAGTAAAAAGGATAATACATTAAACGTACAGTATAGCACTGTTTTCGAAACTCAAAGACGCTTTACAAAACACATACAGTACAAATAAACGTTGAAGAACAAAATTAAGGAAAGGTAAGGTGAAACAGGTGACTTTTGAGGAGTCATTCAAAGTTCCGGAGTGAGTGGGAGTTTCTGATTGATTGTGGGAGTGAGTTCCAGAGAGTGGTGTTTAGTCCTGAGGGGAGTGAGGAGGTTGGAGTCTGTGGATCTGAGGCGGTGGGTGGGACAGTGATGATGGAGGAGGTCAGAGAGGTAGCAAGGAGCCAGGTCATGGAGGGATTTGTCGGTGAGGAGGACCTTGTATCAGATGCGGTATTGAAACAGGGAGCCATTAGAGTTGTTTGAGGACGGGGGTGATGTGGTCTCTGGAGTGGGTGTGTGGTGTGTTGGCATTAATTACCAGCATTATCTACAGCCACACATCACATCATGAACAAACCACCATGCATGGACACATTCACAAATTTCGACAATAAGTGATCTTCTGACAACTTTCAGCGCAATGTTTGTCTGCCAGTATGATATTGTACTTTGAAATATATGTTTCCATTATTATTTCTTGTTGCTACGGGCAGTGTGTTTTCTCCATGACTGTGTTTGAGTTTTCATATTTCGTGAGCTTTTATGTGAAGGCGGCGTCAACAGGAAGCGATGGTTTGAACCCGGGGTAACGGGATGAACCTGAAGTTACCCAGTTTGCATTTCTGTGTTTTTGGTAAACACAGAAACCTACACCTCCGAGTTTGTAAACACCGCTTCTGGCAAGAGCGAGAGATGAGTTTTTTACCTTTTCTGCAGTCAAAGCATGGGGACCTTTCCAGTAGAATTTTAAACAGTTTAATTTAACGCATTTCAATTTCAATGTTTTTTTGTGTAGCGCAAAATCACGACAGCAGTCCTCTTGAAGGACTTTACTAATTTGATCTGATCAGATACAACACTATCAAACACATATACATGTAGGTGCCATTGGTCCAGGAGCGTGATGACCACTGTCCATAAATGTTAATAAATAAACGTCTTCCACTGTCCTTAGACCCGCCTCCACTGGGAACAACTCATGGGGAAAAAAGTGAGAAACTTTTGTTATACTTGTGCCTCAAAACAAGAAATACAGAGCCCATGGAACTGTTGAACCACTGTTGATTTCTTGTGTCCAGTTTCCTTATAAGCACACATTATTTAAAAAACAAAATGCTAAAGTCATGACACACAGATGTTCTTGGACCCAAACGTACAACCAGCATGATTCATATTTTTTTTTTCCAGCACATAACACAAAAATCAGCTGTCACTCAACTATTCTCCCATTGTCTCGTCGCCCTGAACCTGAAACGTCAACGTCAGTGCGGCCCATTCAACGCACATTTACCAAAAAACTGCCAAAAAAGACTCTGGACGAGGGAAAGGAGGTCTCACTCTGTCATGGAAAACCTGACAGTACTCTTTTGAACGCAATCTTGGGCTATTCTCCGGGAATCTGGCCGAGGAGTCTTCTTTGTTCGCTCTTGTCATAACATCATCCGCGAGAATATCGGGTTTCGGTGGATTGTGTGCGGGTTTGAGAACGGGGGAGAGACTTGTGATGCGTTTGAAGTCGTGGAGTGGTGTGTTTTGGACGTGTTTAGGGTCAGGGCGAGGGACGTGGAGTGCAGAGGGGATGAGAGGGGGATGATAGGGTAATGTGAGATCACCACCAGACAATGCACCGCACTGAGACGTCAAAGAGGCAGTTTTAAAAGTCATGGGATCAAAGTTGTTTAAGAAAAGATATCATGCTTTTGTCCTACGATATACAGTAGTTATGTGGTTTTAACCCAGGGCTGTGTGATGTTGGCAAAAAATGTGATTGTCAAATTTCTCACAGGCATGGCTATTCACAATGTGTAAATATAGTCTTATAGATCCTCAGCATTGTAAAGTCCTCCAAATAAATTGAATTGAATTGAACAGAACAACTGTTTGGCACTTTATAGCCGCAGCCGCCCCACCGGGCGGCACGGTGGCTGAGTGGATAGCACTCTCGCCTCTCAGCAAGAAGGTCCTGGGTTCGAATCCCGGCCGGACCAGGGCCTTTCTGAGTGGAGTTTGCATGTTCTCCCTGTGTCTGCGTAGATTTCCTCCGGGTACTCTGGTTTCCCCTACCACTAAAAATATGTACAATAGGTCTGGCATGCGCCTCCTGTTCGGCGACCCCGCTCCCATCTCTGTGTGGAGTGAGAGACAAATGCCCAAAAAATAACAATTGTAAACCGCTTTGTGACTCTGGTCTGTGAAAGGCGGTATATAAATAAAGCTTACTACTACTACTACTACCGTGGCACTTGGTGTTCCCAGAGGTCTCCCATCACAGGTCCTGCCCTGGCTTCTGTGGTCGGATGGTATCTGGCTTTTACCTGCAGGTGGCGCAGCAAATATATTCTCAAATTATCTAATGATTTCCCTAATTTTTTCAATACACTCATTTGGTTTATTTTTTTGCACTATTAAAGTGATATCAAATGGATTGCGATGAATCTTGCACTTTATACATATTTAGCACTTTAATATTGATTTAAAGTGAGTCCAAGCAGTTCTTACCTATCCCAAGTCGATATCTATCAATCTAAAAAGAACATGCCAACGAGTGAAAATGCCAAAAGTCTACCAAAATTCTGAGGACAGGACTGTTGCACATCTACCCCGCAACACTTTTACGAAGCTCCGACTCTCACCAATTATTTTGAACGTCCGGAAGACACCACAGGATGGCAGTATTCTTCTACAACAAGCCATAAAACGTGTGGCCTCCTCACCGTTCCCCTCTGTCCTGGGCCTCTGCATGAGCTCAGAATGTGTGAGTACTTGGGACCCTGGGGGCATGGCGCTCGTGCACTGGGGAGGACTGCTGTGGTTGAATGTATGCGTGAACAGTAGTCTCTTTACGATCACCGATGCCCCAGGGGCCGCCATAAACCAGGCCGTTTATGGTCTGGGTCGTTAGATGGATAATGGAGAGTGGACGTCCTAACACGCTGGGTGTTTCTAACTGCGGGTTCAAGCGGGGGCTGCGCTGGACAGACAATGATCTGGTTCTTTCGAGGAGAATGCCCATCTGACCACTGGTTAAGACGTACATCTTCAAATTAACGGTTGTCAAAAGCTGGTAAAAATCGGTTTCTGCTATGTACTGTGTATTCGATGATGAAACTCCGACCCTTGCTAATGTAAACAAACAAAATAATTAACACACTTCTTTTAAACCTGTTGAACCTGTTTTCAAATACAATGAAAGGTTTACTAGGGACATAACACAATTCTGTTCTCTATACAATATGACCTTCTGTGAGCCCTATGCCTCTTCATCAATTGTATAGGTGAAATTCAGAACATTAGACATTGGTTCTATCAATCAACTTACAATGTTAAACTTATACTTAAACACTCATTACTAGCAAAGTGAGATGTATTGAGTCTTTTGGGCTCACAACTGTAAAATTTCAGAATAAAACATTAGAATATTTTAAAAATGTTAGATTTTTTGACTGTAAGCCAAAGTATCAAAAGTATAATACACAATGGCTTGTCAAATGTCTCTTGGCATGTATTGATTCCATATCGTATATTGGTTTCACATTTGGATATTTAAATGTATTTCTGCATGAAAATACAGTATTTACAATACTGTATTGTATTGTAGAATACAATATTCTTCCAAGTACAATTTGGAAGAATATTGTAATTTTTTGAGTTTCATATGAACCTGTAAGATTCATGTTTAAGGCAAGCTAAAACAATGTTGTAGCAGAAACAAGTCTCGTAGCTCCTTCTTTAGACTTCTTGGGCCCCTTAGCCCAGCCTATCTTGTCCTTTAGCCCCACACCCCATGCCCTTAGCCCCGCCTCTTTATCCAAGTGGCAGTGAAACATCAGAATCAGAATCAGAATCAGAATCATTTTTATTGCCACGTAAGTAACAGGAGGTCACAGACTAGGAAATTGCTTTGGCTCAGTGCAACAGTCAAAAAGAGATAATAAAAATAAGAATAAAAAACACTTCTAAAGAATAAATTTAAATTTAAAGTAGAGTTACAGTTACTATTTACAATATACAAGTGCACATGGTGCACACAATGTAAGGTGACAGCAGTACAGTGAAGTAAAGTGACGTATGATGGGCAGTAAAGTGACTTTATAAAGGGCGGGGGGACAGGTTAAGAAGTGTTCAAGAGTCCAACAGCAGAGGGGAAGAAACTGTTCTTGTGGCGGGAGGTTCTAGTCCTGATGGACCGCAGCCTCCTGCCTGAGGGGAGTGGTTGGAATAGTCCATGTGCAGGGTGAGAGGGGTCGGCTGTGATACGACCAGCCCGGCCTCGAGCTCGGGCGACGTACAGGTCCTGCAGCGATGGAAGGCTGCGGCCGATCACTTCCTCTGCAGAGCGCACAATGCGCTGTAGTCTCTGTTTGTCCCTGACTGTGGCTCCAGCGAACCACACGGTGACTGAGGAGGTGAGGATGGACTCGATGATGGCCGTGTAGAACTGCACCAACATCGGTGCAGGCAGCTTGGCTTTCCTGAGCTGCCGCAGGAAGTACATCCTCTGCTGGGCCTTCTTGATGAGGGAGCTGATGGTCGGCTCCCACTTGAGGTCCTGGGTGATGGTGGTGCCCAGGAAACGGAAGGACTCCACAGAGGTGATGGGGGAGTCCATCACGGAGGGTGGGGGTGGGGGGACAGTGCTCTTCCTGAAGTCCACAATCATCTCCACTGTCTTCTGGGCGTTCAGCTCCAGGTTGTTACCACTGCACCAGGACACCAGCCGGTCCACCTCCCTCCTGTAGGCGGACTCATCGTTGTTGGAGATGAGTCCAATGAGGGTGGTGTCGTCCGCGAACTTGATCAGCTTCACGGAGTCGTGGCTGGAGGTGCAGTGGTTGGTGTACAGGGAGAAGAGCAGGGGAGAAAGAACACAGCCCTGTGGGGCTCCTGTATTTATAATCCGAGAGTCCGAGACATTCTTCCCCAGACGCACTCGCTGCTTCCTGTCCGTCAGGAAGTCAGTGATCCACCTGCAGGTGGAATCGGGCACGTTGAGCTGGGAGAGCTTGTCCTGGAGCAGGGATGGCAGGATTGTGTTGAAGGCAGAGCTGAAGTCCACGAACAGGACCCTGGCGTAGGTCCCCGGGGAGTCCAGGTGCTGTAGGATGTGGTGGAGGGCCAGGTTAATGGCGTCGTCTACAGATCTGTTGGCTCTGTAGGCGAACTGCAGGGGGTCCAGGAGGGGGGAGGTGAGGGACTTGAGATGGGAGAGAACCAGGCGTTCAAATGACTTCATGACGACAGACGTAAGTGCTACAGGTCTGTAGTCATTGAGTCCTGTGAACCTGGGCTTCTTCGGGACGGGGACAATGATGGAGGATTTGAAGCAGGCCGGGACATGGCAGGACTGCAGAGAGGTGTTGAAAATGTCAGTGAACACAGGAGTAAGCTCACTGGCGCAGTGTCTCAGAGTGGCCGGAGACACGTGGTCCGGGCCAGGAGCTTTGCGGGGGTGCAGCCTCAGGAAGAGTTGTTTAATGTCTTTAGAGGCTATTGTTAGGCTGGGGGCAGGGCTGATGGGTGGGTCGTTAGAGTAGTGGGGGGTGGGGGAGGGAGAGGTGTCAGGGGCAGCATCAAAGCAACTGAAAAATAAGTTCAGATCGTCAGCTAGCTTGTGGTCGTCAGCACAGGGGGGGGCTTTGGGTTTGTAGTTGGTGATCTCCCGTAGGCCCCTCCAGACAGAAGCAGTATCGTTGTTACCAAACTGCTCCTGTAGTCGTTCTCTGTGCCGGGACTTGGCTGCTTTCAGTTCTCTCCTGAACTGATATTTAGCTGCTTTGTAGCCGCTGCGGTCCCCCTCCCTGAAAGCAGACTCCTTTGCTTTCCTGAGCTGCCGGAGTTTAGCAGTGAACCAGGGTTTGTCGTTGTTATAGATGACCCTGGTCCTTGTTGGAATGATGCTATCCTCACAGAAGTGAATGTATGACGTCACAGTGTCCGTATATTCATCCAAACTATCTGTGGCAGCTCTGAAAAGGTCCCAGTCTGTAGATTCCATGCATGCGCGCAGCTCTTCCACAGCTTCATCAGACCACACTTTGGAGCTCCTCATTGCAGGTTTCGAGAGCTTTAGTCTCTGTCTGTAAGCAGGAACCAGATGTATCATGGAGTGATCTGAGAAGCCGAGGGCTGGCTTGGGAACAGCGCGAAAAGCTCCGCACACGGTGGTGTAACAGTGATCCAGAGTGTTCTCCTCTCTGGTCGGGCATTTGATAAACTGTCTGTATTTGGGTAATTCCTGGCTCAAGTTTCCCTTATTAAAATCCCCCAGGATAATAATCAGAGAGTCCGGGTATAAGCGTTCCATACACAGTACTTGCTCTGCGAGTGCGCGCTGAGCCTCGCGCGCGTCCGCGCATGGCGGTATGTAAACAGAGGCAAGAATGAATGAAACAATTTCGCGCGGGGAGTAATATGGTTTACAATGAATGAAAAGATATTCCAGAGCAGGAGAGCAGTGCTTGGAGATCACTGTCACATCGTTACACCAGTTTGTATTGACGTAGAAACAGAGCCCTCCGCCTCTGCTCTTCCCTGAGAGCGCACAATGGCGATCCGCGCGGAACAGCCCAAAGCCCTGCAGCTCCAGAGCGCAGTCCGGGATCCGCTCATTTAGCCAGGTCTCAGTGAAGCAGAGGACACAGGATGTGGCGAAGTCCTTGTTTCTTCTCATGAGCAGGCTGAGTTCGTCCATCTTATTGCCCAGTGAGCGTACGTTGGAGAGAAAAATGCCGGGGAGAGCCGTGCGCGCTCCTCTCCTCCTAAGACGCACGAGCAGGCCTCCGAGCTTTCCCCTTTTACGGGCCCACACTTTTTTGGCTAGAACATGAACTAAATCAGCCGCAGATGCCAAGAAAACAGGCAATAGGTCCATGGGAACGGTGGGTCGGATGTTCATAAGTTCCTCACGGGTGTAGGAACAGCCAGATGCGCAGTTAAAAAGTAAAAACAAAAGAAAAAGAGAGCAGCAAAGAGCCATGTCGACCGTACGAGGCGCCATCTTTGTTTATCTGACATGCACACGTCACGCACACACCTTCAAGATTTACTGATTCAGAAAAGTAAATTGCCAGCAGGCCGACTAAGGGGAGAGCAATGGTGGTGCATGTACTGTACATGTGATGGGATCTGGGAAAACCCATCACATGGTGAAGTTTGACCAACTGTTTTCCTTTTTTTCATAGCAGGTCTGTAACAAAAGTTATCATTATCTGAAGTCAGCGTGTTAACATGGTTTTATGAAACATAAAACAGGTTTAAATCTAGACATTCTAAATAGAATCACCACAATCACATTTATCATGTTACATTTGAATTACTCTGTTATGGCACACACTTATTTTTAGTCAATATGTTGTGAAAGATAAACATTTTTTACTTTGGCACCAATTAAACACACGACACTCATTAATTCCATGAAAATCAAGAATGTATTTATTCTTTCAACATTCAATTAATTGAAAATATTTTACGTAACTTTTCCTCTTCTTTTTTCTGTCTTTCTCTTCATAAGTTTCTGAACATTATATATGTATTGGACAATGCCAGTATTATTCTATCAAATCAAATATCCACGCACAACCACCAAGCATTTTTAATGCATGGAGAAAATTAGGTACCCAAGCTTTGATTTTGTGAGTTGTGGTTGCACATAGGAGACACAGGGGAGACCTGGACTTGCAACAGGCTGGGGATTGTCCTGAACGCATGTCTATGGTTCTGTCCGCGTATGGTTCTGTTTATGGTCCTGTCTGAGTGTCTATGATCCGCGAGTCTATGGGTTCTGTCTGCGTGTGTCTATGGTCCGCGCTCGGAGCCATGTTACAGCAGTGAGTTCACTGAGCTGTCAAAGCTGCTGTCACAAAGCGGCCGCAGCTGCTCCCGGGGCCAGAGCGAAGAATGTAACAGAACGTTCGGTTTATGAAAACACAATTTTTTATGTATAAAACTAGTTAATTTCACCTACATATTTTCAGAAACAAAAGACAAGATGTTATATAATAATTATTTAATGAAAACACAATTTTGCCAAAAAAAATGACAATCGATTATGTTAGGATACAAAGACCTAAAACATGTGTGAATTACACTAATATAGCTTTATGTGAGTAATGTCACAAAGCAGTTATTTTGGTCACTTGTACAGCTGAGAAAAAACTTTTAGGCCATGTCCCCTTTAAGAAGATAATATATATGCATTTAACTTGTTCTATAACTCTTCAAACTCTTGGCACATCATTAGCATTCACCTGCATGAACAGTCAGATTTTATTTTTACACAAAACTGAATGATTGTGGATTACTTCTTCCCCTCCACATCATTAAGACTCACCATCGGTCCCAGTCTGCGAAACCCTGGAAATGTTATAGAACCTGCAGTAAGTGCTCCGATCATCGCAACAGTCTACCAAATATCTGCACTGCCTGCTCTAACTGATGTCACTCAACAGAAACCAATGGTTGATAGCTTTAGTGAATTTAATTGGGTTTGTATTGTTCAGAAATGACTCACGACATGTGTCTGGGATGATTCTGGCAAATGTAAAGCAAAGGTGGAATTTCAATCCAACTATATAGATTACAAATTGATCAAGCAAACTAGCTAATACATAAACAGCATGTTGGTTATTGATTCCTGTTTGTCTCTGTCAACATTACGAAAGGAAACAGATTCAGAAAGTGGTTCCATTATTCACCCACAATGACGTGACTGTAGGGCTGTAACAAGATAATAGATTTACTGTAACTAATCATACTGAAGAAGATGGCATAGTCTGGGATCGCGTCTTTAATTCAGACAGAAGACATGTTTTATTGTCAATGGTAGAGACAGCACGAACAAAGCACACGATCACAGAAACAATAGAATGCAAGTGTATTATACAGAGCAGAGGCATGGAGACCTCCAATCAGCAGCTGCCACGGTGCCATGTAGCTTGGCCTTCAGATAGACAAAACAAGGGAAAAGTACTGGCTTCTGCACATTGATAGAATGATGAGTTTAACTTTAACAAAAGTTGCTTAAAAGTGTTATGAAATCTCACATTCCCCCCTCTGGTCACACATTCACGTGTGACCATCAGGATCGATAAACAGCAACATAACATCATAACTCAATACTTCAACAACTCATAAACTCGGTACTTAAAAAAACTCAGAACTCAGATTACTTCAAAAACTCATAAAACATGTTCAGATCTTTCATAAAACTTGTCAACAATCTTCAGTAAAATACCAAACTTCATCAGTCGATGTGGTTCCAGATATTGCTTTGAAAACAGTCTCTCCCACTTCTCCGTGTTGATTTCTTCAGGCTGCATTTGTGTCGAGCCATGAACTCTTCTGTGACGTGTCTTTCAATCACACGTTTCAGCTTTAGTGTCCAGATTCAGAAATTCAATTCAGTCCAAATTATGTCCAAATTCAGAAATCCAGATTGTTCCAAATGATGTCCAAATTGTGTAATCCAATTGTTCCAAATCATGTCCATGCAAAAGAGGACACTGGTGTTGTCCATGTCTCAGCAGCTCACAGCCTGAGTGGAATCAGGGGCTGTGCAGATTGTCCAAGTGCTGATCCAGATGCATTCTCTTGAGCTTTCTCAGTTTTGGCTTAAAAAAACAACACTTTTTGTGTAAAAAAAAAAAAAGTCTTCTGTTCTCTAGATGTTACAGACAAGGCCCGCATCCTTCCACCACCTGAAGAGGATGACATAGTCTGGGATCGCGTCTTTAATTCAGACAGAAGACATGTTTTATTGTTGATGGTAGAGACAGCACGATCAACAGATACAATAGAATGCAAGTGTATTATACAGAGCAGAGGCATGGAGACCTCCAATCAGCAGCTTCCACGGTGCCATGTAGCTTGGCCTTCAGATAGACAAAACAAGGGAAAAGTACTGGCTTCTGCACATTGATAGAATGATGAGTTTAACTTTAACAACAGTTGCTTAAAAGTGTTATGAAATCTCACAATACATAGACTTAAGCATGCTGAGGAGAGGTTTTATGACTCCCATGTTCACCATTTGACCTTTTGCGATCTGATTTGACGAATTGATTAATTAAAAGCCTTATTGGCCATTTAGATCACTTTTGATGTCACTTGCTTTTTTGGATGTTGAGTATAATAAAAATTCCAAATTGGGACAAATCTGTGTCTCCAAGCGATATGATGCAGCCCGATATCTTCCAAATGCAAAACCAATACAAATACATATGTACATTATCTATTGTTTACCTTTTTGTTCTAGTGTAGGCTTGGTTTCAATGAAGATGAAGACATTTGTGTTCATTTTGTACAAAAATATACCAGAACCTGCCTACAATTCATAATTTGAACAGAGTGACTGGAAGTGGGGTTGCCGTATCCAATTATCAGACACATGCATAAGGCTTTCTAAAAAATGTGAATATATCCCTGATATAAAGCAAACAAGATAAACACAAGGAAAGAAGAAATAATAAGAAGAGACATCATGAAATGGATGTAAATATGTTCTTTCAGATTACTTAAGTTTGAAATTGCCATGTACAGTGAATATAAAGGGAAGGAATTGAATAAGGGTCATAACATCCACATACCTCTGTACTTTTGTTTGGATATAAAACCATGTGACGCTGTGAACCTCTGGTAATTTATGCTTTGAACCAACAATAAAACATGTCTTATGCTACATCTGTAACCTTTGTCATTTTCCTCAGTACCTTAAGTCATACAAACAATAGTTCATGGACTCAATCCTTAATAATAGGATTGCAAGTTCTTGCAAAAACATAGAATCCTCCTTTAAGTCCTAAAGTCCCTCGTCACATTCTAAAGTCTTCACAATAGTCTAATATGGGGATATCCTGGCTTATTCCTGCGCTCCTTTCTCTATAGCCACAGTCTTGTCCATCCATTCTCTGAGGCTTTCCCCACTGTAGGCCTAACACAACATGAGCGTATCTCATTTATCACGTGCACTCATGCGTTGGCCTGTCATTGTTTCTCTTGTGTCTCGGCCCGGTCTCCCTGCGGTCTCCTGTCCCATTGTGGTCATGGCGCATACCTCCTGAGCACTGAGGTGAGCGGTCTGCCAGATGCAGTGCACACTCTGATGTAAGAATCACTAAAAGCAAGAGCCAAACGTTTTGGAACCTTATGATTGTGTCATTTAAAACACTGTAGATAATGTTCAATAATGTTCAGACAGCAAGCTGTCATCAGAATTCTTCTATTGCCAATGTAAGGAAAAGTTAGTCATAAACTAGGAATTTGCTTCGGCCCATGGTACAACAATATATGGAAATAAAAATAGTCATAAAGGCATGCATAAAAAAAATAGAATGATTTTGACTGCTCCTATTATAACCAATGGAGTTCTGAGAAATTCCCCCAAAACGAGTTTTTAAAAGTAAGTAACCTGTAACTGTAACCTTTACTGACTTTCACTAAATGCTAAAAAAACTAAATGTTAACTGCTGACTGCTTTTGAAAGAGCTGGAAACGGCAGCAAGTCCTAAGTAGCTCTGAAACACTTTTTTGAAGCACTTCGAGATGTTGCTGCAGTACAGTGTTCATGGTTTTGCACGGGTCCAGACCAGAGCAGACAGGATTCATGGTCCAAAACAAGCGGGCAAAAATCCACTGGAGGAATTCTAATTTTTTTGAAATATGCTAACAAAGCAGTCAGCATTTTACTGAAGAGAAATGGTCTGGAACAAGCGGACACACCACCTCTTCTGCTGTGACCTAAAGTGCTGTTGCATTTGAATACTGTTAGCTGTTTTTTGAATGATCTATTTGTTTCATTGGTTTGTATGAATGCATGTATTTGCTGCTAATGGACACCTGAATTTCTCCGACGGGGATCAATCTATCTATTTATGTAATCGGTGTGTTGCTATAGTAACCAACACTCGCTCTGAAAAGATTTAAGTTTTAAAAATAATTACATCAATTCTTAAAGATAATGACAGAAATAACCTACATATAGAAATAGAAAAAGTCAGATAGTAATGCAGACCAAAAAGATCACTTGTGAGGACTGGCCTTCACAAAATGGACAAACGCAAGACAAAACATTCAAGGGATCAGGGTTGAAGGTCACGGCGACTTCAGTCATGTCTCTGTTGTTTGGACTAACACCTGTGGATTGGTGTCTTTTGCTGTGATGCATATTGTCAAATAAAATGCTTGCTCTCTCTACATTCCGTCTGAAAAAAAGGCCCACAGACTTCAGATCACGTCTAAAGTCTCTGACATCTTTTCGACCCACTGAGTAATTACACTTCTAAAACTAAAAACCATCAATTAGACTGCTCAGGCCGTTCATGTGTTAAAGTTTCTACTAAACACATGACAATAAAGTGGGTGGAATAAGACAGGGGTGTGCATTCAGCCCGGGGAACTACTCTGACAGGTTAATCGTCCCGTTTCGGCCTAAAGTGCCTCGTTTAAGGCGGCGTAAAAGGTGATCAGTGGAGATTCCTTGTGACAGTGAAGTGTTCCAGCCCAGCAAACTCCCGGCGGCCCCCACTGTCCGGCGCGTCTGGCCCCCAGCTGTTTGGCCACAGATGGGCGGCTTCCTGTCAGGGGCTGCTCCGCATGTGAGGGCTTTTTCTTTGCCTTTCTTCTGCTCCACTGTTTTGAGACTGTCGCAGATCATCAAAGGCTTCACCCCAGGCCACTCTGGCTCTGTAGCCTCTGCTCGCCCTGTAGGTCCACAGTCCGGACTGGGGGACAGGGTTTTAAGGAGAGATGAATGCAGAGGTTTGAGTCATTGAACTATGCGTGGTATGAAGCGCTCACGTGTTTACGAAGCTGTTGAGAATGAGACAAGATGCTGAGGTCTGGGAGTGTGTCACAGGCAGAAGACATTTTGATGATGTTACAAAGACACAAACTAAGATTTTTAGAATGCATGTGATTTTAAACCATGGAGAAATCATAGACACTCATTCTCACATCTGCAATGGTGCCAACAGTTATGCTACCTTCATATGCAGGACATCCCGTTTTGCTAACAGCTTCTTTCCACAAGATGTTATCAGTTAAAACAAAGCACTTTAAAGATCTTGCACTTGAAACTGTTTTAGTTAATCGATTTCTCGGTGTCAATTGTATTTGTTTTATTCTTTTACTTCAACTTTTACTTCAACTTTTACTACTTCTTTAATCTTGTTTTTTTGTGTCCTTGTCTTGTGCACACTGGGGACTTAAGCAAATTTATTCAAATGTGGTTTTACTGCAAATGGCAAATAAACTGAATCTGAAGCAAAACATTCAAGTGGAAAATGAGTCCTGCATTCTGTTTGAGTGACAAGCTTAGGTTTAACCAAAATTGCTTCAAAAGATCTTCAATAGAGCCCCAAAAAGACTAACGTAAAAGCGAAAATGTTTCTCATGAGAAGAAAAGGGGCGTGCATTTAGAGCCAGACATTTCCCCCTCCAGATATTGGATACACAGTTTGATTCACTATTTGAATAAAAACATGATCTCTCGATATTAATTCATTAATATGTTTTGCTTTTGTTTAAAGTGCATCAACAATGTGAAACTGATTAGGATTTTATATAAACTGATCAGTCCCACTGAAAGATCTCAGCTCCTGTGGACCCACCACTTGCAGGAGGATCAGTGAGGGGCTGGGGTTAAGTGTGCTGGGTGCAGCTCTGACTGCTGCCCCCACGACCCAGAAATGGATTAAGGGAAAGAAAATGGATGGATGGATGAACTGATCAGTAGCAAAAAAAAAACTAATTATCTGTTTATTAGGCATTTTGCTAGCAAACTCTTGATGTCTTCGACTCCCGCCTCCCCCGCTTGCTCAATGGTCGGACCAAGGGAACCGCAGCCACTAAGGCACGGTTTAGACGGAGACGCTGCAAAGCAATTAGCCAACGAAAAACGACCAGGCTCCCACACAGCGTTTAGACGACAACTGAAAACAATGTAGTTCTAGTGCCCGGTCACTAGAGCGCAGTGGAACTTTACAACACAAAAAACGCGCGACCCCCAGCCCCCCAGCAGTAACCACTTTCTCAACAACATCTTCCTTAGGCCACCACAAAGACATGAAAGAATTCACCAACATCATTCTGCATTTAACAGCCGCAGGGAAAAGGGAAACTGAATCTAGAGCTTTGCATGGTTTTGTTTAGACGAAGAAGTAGAATTAGTTGATCCGCCACCATTGCTTTTTACAGTTGTACTTGGCTACTGCGCATGTCCAAATGCACGTGCAGGGAAGTGGGGGTCTTAGCAGGCAGATAATTCACACCTTTTTCTTCACACAGCTGCAAAACAGCCTCTCATAGAGCTTCGTGTCTGTTCTGTTCCACTCTGGAGGCTGTTTCTCAACCCTTGCATTTTCACTCCCCTGAAACACCGCCTTCATGTAGACGAAAGGTCAATCCGATACCCAAGTCTACCGTTTTACTGTCGCAGCGTCTCCGTCTTAACGGGGCCTAAGATCAGAGTTTACGGATGGCTAAAGCCCATTTAAAATAAAACCTGTGCAAACTTGAAACCAACCTGTTACTTACACTGGCAATAAAAATAATTCTGATTCTGAAAATGTATCAGCTGGATTCAGGTTCAGGTTGATTGAACATGACATGGATAAATTCATTAATTGGATGAAGCTTAAGTTGGCTGAATGATGATTACTTGTCCTCTCACAAGCTCCTATCTAATGTGTGGATTGTGATAGACAACAACTTAATATATCAGGTTCAGAGCCTATATTGGCAGAGATAAAGTTTGACCGAAAACATTTTAAAAATAAAAGTTTTGAAAAAAAATGTATTTAATAATACCCAGTCATATCCATATTATATTTTTGTTCTGATGTCCAAATGCCAGTGCTCCTCTATGATTCCTCTGACCAGCACAGCAACATGCCCACAGTTTGTCTTTAGTTTGTAGTATTTGCTGACTGGACAGAAGTAGCAGATATAACATGAGATAAATGTTATAAAGCAACCGCAAAGTAAAGTTGTCTAAATTACACATTATATATAAATCAACAGTATAAATAAAAGTATTAGACAACTGCTTTTTGAAATGTCTGAATTAACGTTTAATGCATTTTTAAGGGGTAGCTGTGGATGCAGAGTAGATTTAATAAATAGATAATAAACCCGCACCATTTCCTCTATTATTTTTTGTAGCAAGATAAAAACCAATGGCTTCATCCACCAAACAAAGACACATATAGAAAAAGAGAAACCCGTCACACGCACTTCAGCAATAAACCACCTCTTCACCCCAGTCTGATCTCTATTGTCTTCTTTTCCCCATACCTGCTTTGATCAACCATAAGCTGACTTCTATCCAGCTTTGGCCCTACCCTAACCGCCCTCTTCAGATCCCGACAGAGACATATGGCCGCACAATAGCCACAAGTGTTAAAATATTAACTGGGTGTATAGCTCATTAGTACCATAGCACTCTTCATCACCATATAGGACCCCCATTATCCATCCCCCCTCTGGGCATCTGCACAAAGGCCAGGAGGGAGTCGTTATTGAAGCTATGCTATGGCTTCAGATCGACCCGGTCTCGGCAGGGGGCGGTATGGTACGGGGACGGGGGTGGAGTGGGGAGTGGAGTGGTACCAGGAGGCAGTATGTGGAGATAGTGTTGTTTTAACTGTAGCCCATTAGCTTGAGATTGGAGGGCTCTCACCACTAATGGGCGATGTCCTTCACAGAGACAGAGAGAGGGCAAAGGGGCGACACATGGGAGGTTCCAGTCAGTGCGCTTACATGGCCTGAGAACTTGGCGAAACCACGCAAAGAAACACAACCAAACCTAATTACTCTTTGCCTGCCCAGACAGACTGCGCTTGTCTCGGTCTACATGGAGGTCAAAGTAATGGTCAACCGATTATCAGCACCGATTTTGGCAAATATTGGAATACTGGCAGGGTTCTCGCCTGGATGATTTAGCAGCAAACCTTGTATGGAGTGTTGTTTGGATTATATTGTTTGCAATCAATAAGGATTATGCTAATGTAGATCATACATAATAATAATAATAAATCCGACAAACCAACATTGTTTTTCCTGCACACACGGACATACACACACGCACACATACACAGTGTGTGAGGACAGTACTGTTTTTTCTACGGGAAAAATTATTCACTGCACAGCTTTTATCTGACATCAGGACCCAGCACTGATGCGGATGCCACATATTTCTCACTTGTGGGAACGGAGCAAGAAATCTAGGCGAGCACCTGAGAGGTATTGGTGAAAAAAATGACAAAAGATGGTGGTTTGGGTAAATTGTTTTAAAACAGACAAATCACGGCTGTCCTCTTGGCATCTGCAACGGCGCAGATATGTTAGCTTCAATTTTCAGACGAAAAAATCAGGTGGATAATCACTGACTTCTTTAGAAAGTCGTAATGGCAAGCTTTGTTTCAATCATAGCTGCATCAAAAGTGGCATAAATATCCTCATAGGTATACTAATAGGTAATTTCAGATTGTAATTTGCAGAGGTACTATGCATACACACTTTTAACCAGCTCTAACTGAGAGTATACATTGTACATAGATTCCTATAACCTGGACTTCTCATCTCGGAACCCGGAGCCCTCAGTGACCACATGAACCCAGAATATTGTTAACCCCATTCAGTATTTGTTGGTTTCAGATGGAAGAAGGCGCTGGCTTATCTCTCAATGGGGGACAATGCTCAGGGATTAGCCCACTGCTGTCTGTCAATACTCTTCTCCTGCTCTCACTCTGGATCTATAATCATCTCCAGCACAGCTCCCCAAGTCTGATCTTTGAGGAAAGGGTGGTTTGCCGTTTAGTCTATTATTATTTCAACATTTAAAATTCCGAAAGTAGTCTAAAAAGATGTATTTCGTATTGCAAATTGCCCGATTGGTTTGTTTTTGATCATGATTGCAACAAAGTGACAACATAGCAGCACATTTCAGGAGCCTTTTGTCATGTGGGATAAAATGCTTCTTCTGAATAGTGTGAATTCAGAAGTTTGGATACATTGAGTGGCAAGAAATGAATCTGGAATTTGACGAGAACACTTCCCAGATTTGCAAAAAAGGCGCCCCAAGACTGTACTGAGTCACGGATGATGCTGTGTTATGGGTCATTCGTTGAGTGTGTTGTCATGTTTTGGACTGACATATTCTTGTAAAAGGAAGCCAAGCAAAAGGAGTTTTCTGAGCAAAATTGTGCCAAACAAACTACAAATGACACAGATTTACAAGAGACAGAACAAAGTTAAATCTGTCTTGTCCACGGCCACACCTGAAGTTTGATCTTCCTAGGGATAGAACAAGCTCGTTTCAAACTCTTATTTGTGTTCTGTGCAATAACCAGTTTTATGAGTCTACATGATGCTTCTTTTGATCTTCATGTCCCTCTGATACATGTGTGGTTGAACTGAACTTGTATTCATTGTGTTGAAATGCACCACCACATTAAAACAATCATAACTTTGGGACAAGAAAAACTGTGCGTTGGATTAGGTTTACGAACCCGGATCCCTTGTCTAGTACAGTTCATTCCAACTGAACAAGGCTCACTAAACTTGCGTGAAATGATTATGAAGTGAAATTCCAGTGCGTTGGTTGTAACTGGAACCAATTACACAGAATTTATGCTGCATGTAACCAAGTGGACC